AAGCCAGTTGTCTTTCCAAAAATGAATTTGGCTTCCAGATCCGACTCTTCATCTCATACCATTAGGAAGGATTTGGGCACCAAAGAGGATTCCACGCCAAGTATGAGAACAATTAGTGTACTTAGCAGAGCAAGCACCCACCATGTCATGGTGTTTGAGATACTTTCCCTTTAAAACTTGCGCCCATAGGCCCGAGTCTCTTTGCATAAGTTTCCAGCCAGTTTTAGCAAGGAGGGCTTGGTTCATAACATGAGTATCTTTCAATCCTAACCCGCCCATGAATTTAGGCGTGCAAATTGTCTCCCACTTAACAAGGTGAACCTTGGAATTTCCCTCAGTGTGGCCTCATAAGAAATTCCAACTTATCAATTTTATCACATATGGAAATTGGGAGGCGAGTAGATTGCATTGAGTAGATTGGAATGGCTGAGGCGACTGATTGGAGGTAAACAAGCCTACCTGCCATAGAGAGGGTATTGCTCTTCCAAGCAGAGAGTCGACGTTGAACTTTTTCCACAATGTTGCCATAAGTCTCTTTGTTGACTCTAGAATGCAGTAACGGCACACCCAAGTAGTGACCTAAATCAGAAGTGAGAGGAGAACCACAGATGTTGGCAATTTCAGTAGCCTTACTTCGAGAGATATTAGGTGAGCAATAGATACATGATTTATCAAAATTCGCCTGCTGACCGGACACAGCACAAAAATTATCAAGACAATCCTTCAAAATTTTGGCTTGAGTTGAGGAGGCTTCCGCAAACAAAATAAGATCATCCGCAAAAAAGAGATGAGATACAGAAGGCCCATTTCTAGCTAGCTTAACTGGCTTCCATTTCTTAGTGGTGATGCATCCATTAATGATATGGGAGAGTTTTTCCATGCAAAGCACAAATAAATAGGGAGAGAGGGGATTTCCCTGTCTGATTCCACAGTGTGGGGAGAAAGAATCAGTGAGCTCCATTAACAATAGCTTGGTATTTGACTGTGGTAACGCATTGCATGATAAGTTCCAAGACTTTCCCTCTTAGCCCAATCTCCCATAGAACATCTCTAATAAAACTCCACTGAAGCCGATCATAAGCTTTGGAAAGGTCAATTTTCCAAGCAATGAACCCTTTTTTACCTTTGGTGTTTCTGTACTTATGGAGGATTTCTTGAGCAACAATGATATTATCAATAATTTGCCTACCCGGGACGAAGCTCACTTGAGTAGGGCTAACAAGTTTATGGAGAAGCGGTCGCAATTTCCCCACCAAAATTTTGGAGATGACCTTGTAAAGAGTAGAACACAGACTAATAGGCATCAGCTGAGTCATGCTTGTAGGATTATCAACCTTAGGAATCAATGAGATGAAGGTGTTGTTGATGTTGTCCGGGAGTTGAGTTGAATTGAAACAACCCTTAACCATATCACTAATATCCTTGCCACAAAGATGCCAAAATTTTTGGTAGAAACGAGCAGGGATACCATCAGGTCCAGGGGCCTTGAGACCACCAATAGCAAACATACAATCTTTAATCTCATCATCGGTGACTTCCCCGTTTAGGACAGCTAAGTCATCACCACTAAGACAAGGGAATAGATGGGGCAAACTCTCCATATTTGTCGTCGTTATGCGAAATGAAAAAAGATCTTTGAAGTAATTGACAACAATCGACTTTAAATTCTCTTTTCCATCTGTCCAAACTCCTTCAGAATTATTAAGGCCTTCAAGCTTATTTTTCCTTCTCCGCACCACCGCAGAGAGATGGAAAAACTTGGTATTTTTCCTTCTCAAGCTTATATAAAATTAAACATAAATAGTATCTAACTAAAACTGATCGCATGATAAACGATAAATAGCTAAAATATAAGGATCCGAAGAGAATCTCGTCCCATATGAAATTATGAATTGTCCTTTTTCCACTTTAAAAACTAATCCTATCAGGGAAGACAATTTGAATTTTGCTTATGATATAAAATTCACTAATAGTTTCAGGTTTTGAGTATTATCATTCAGTATTACGGTCTTGTGATATTTCTTTTCATTTAGAAGTGAGAGATCTTAAGTTCGAATCTCGTGGATGACGAATTCGATACCAAATTAAGCTGCCCATTAGGTAACTTAGTTGAATTCTCCCTCCTCCTAGTGTAAACATAGCAAAGTACTCAAAAAAATATATTTCACCAACACTTTTTTTATTAAAAACTATATTCTATTCTAATAATGTTGGAAAGAGTGAGAGTTTAAATACTATTTAATTTTGAAAGAGAGTTTTGATTTCAGCGTCAAACAGTTTCTAATGCAAATATTTAAAAGAAAATTACAATTCATGAGGATATCTAATCATATCAGCAATATTGGTGAATGGACTAAGTTGACTGAGGAGTATGCATGTGAAAATTTTGGAGTGTATCTAACTCTTGCCACCAGCCACCAACTGCACACAGGCAAGCATTGTCACCCTTAGATCACGGTTGGAGGTGAGCGAGGGTTTGAGCACTATTTAATATTCGAAGAGAAATTGAATTCTATGTTTGAATGTACTTCAATGTAGCCCTGTTTTTAAAGTTCAGCAGTTTTTAATGAAAAAATTCAAAACAAAGTACAATTCAAATTTCAAAATTTGTTAAGGAAGTTTTAACAAAAAGCCCACGGTACTGTTTTTTTTGGTGGAGGACGCATGGAGAAATTAGGAGTGTGCGTCCGTTGATATTAGAGCGCACATGTGTCTCTATATAAATGGTGAGATATGTGTTTTAAAAGATTAATAACTTAAAAATTAAAATTTTTCACCACTTACATAAAAACACATGATGTATCATCCGTGTTCCATCATAACTAAAAATTTCTTCTCCTATCAGCCACCAACTCCTACTATAAACAGGTGGCGTGAGGACTAAAAAGTGTTATTGTAGCTCGTGACACTCCCAACAGAGTTTGGCAATGCGCGGTAGGCGGCGTGACGGAATTGGATCCTCGCCGGATCTAATTCATAGGATCCTAGGGATCAGCCCATGTGGGCCGTTAATCAAAAATCGTGCAGTCATAATTTTTTTTTTATATATTTTTCACACAAAACGAGACTATTTTACTTTTAAAATATTTAATTATGACCGCACGATTTTTTATCAACGGTCCACGTGGATTGATTCCTAGGATCCCAGCAATTAGATCTAGCAAGGATCCAATTCCGCGGCATGACCACTTCATTGCAAGTGAAAATTACATTAGTAGTACTACCATTTGCAATATTTGTTGCCACCTTCGTTGTGGCCAATATTTCACAATATGATTGTTCATGGTCCCCGAATCACATAATTATTGTTTGTCAGATAATCAAATGATCGAGAGTATTTTACTCTTCACTATAAGTATGATATATGTTCAACACACACTTAATTTGTTGTCATATTATTCTTCAAAAATCACCAAATGAGGACCTACATGTCCTATTAAAACAACCCATCACCTGCAACTTAACATATATTTAACAAAACATGCTTCTCAGTCCCTCAGTTACATCAAATTTATCATGAAAAATAAATCAAAAGTGCGAACTTCCGTATTTTCTTATCACAAGCTACATGCGGGCCACTTTCTAATACAATTCTACAATTTCAAACAACAAAAACAAAGACATCACATCGGTTTTCTGTTCTTCCGTATAAAAACAAGTGACAAATGCCTAATTTTGTCGAACCTAGCTTCTCTGCTCTCCCACTTTTCATACACTTCTATCTCTTTCTATTTGTGCGGTCACGGTTAAACCGCGTTAATATTTTATATTATTATTGTTTTTTATCTTATTATCTCTATAAAAAAAATCAATATAAAATGTTGACGTGGCTTAATTGTGACCGCACAAAATAGGAAGGGATGAGAGTGTATGGGAAGTGAGAGGGTAGAGAAGCCGGGTCCAATTTTGTTATCCCTTCGAGTTTCTATCCAATCAATAAGCCATCTATGCGAGTGAGTTTTGAGTCGGTCAAGTGGTGGTTGGTAAACTATGTTGTCACTCAAAAATATTCATGTACATGTACATATATGCTTTCATTTAGAAGCCTAATCGGACGACGGAAGAAGGAATATGTGAACATCACTTGAAAGTTTCCTTGGTTCCAACTCCGAAAGGACGACGGAGAAGACGGAAGGATCGGAGGGGCGGTCTGGAATCGGAATTTGGAAGCAAAACTTGAACGAGGACGCCTCTCTCTCTCCAACAGCCGGATTTTGTTTCCCTTGCTGCAAAGTTTGTAGATGTCAATGTGTTAGAACATTCATAGCTTTCAGTTTCCATTTGCATTCTTTCTTCTGTTCTTTTGGTCTTTCACTTGTGAAATTTAAGTCATTGGATTGGTGGTACCCTTGCATATTACTGAGTTTTGCACCTTGTTGCATATTTTTTTTTTTTTTTTGCATCTGTTTCCCACACCAAAACGTGGCGTACTAAGCTCACCATTTTTTTTAGTACAAGCGGTATTACTACACTAAAATGATGAGAAGAGGAAGGATTTGAACCTCGAACGCTGTAAGTTGCTAATAAAACTCATTTGTCACATATCAATTGCTGCTAATTTTCTGTAGGAACATGGATATATACCCGCTTGTATCTTGTCATAGTCGTTACCCTTTTCCAATCCAATCGTTACCAAACACCAATGGACAAGGATTGTTTGCCCTCCTTGTTCCCGTGCCCTCCCATGCTCTTATGCCCTTATGTTTGTGTGGTCACGATTAAGCCACGTCAACATTTTATATTACTATTCATTTTCGTCTTATTATCTCTATAAAAAAAACAATATAAAATGTTAACGTGGTTTAACCGTAACCACACAAAACAAGAGGGCATGAGAGGGCACGGGAACAAGGAGGGCAGACAATCCTTGTCCAACACCAATGACATTTTTTGAGGAGGGGAGGAAGTGAACTCGAAAACAAGGGAGCAATAGTGAATGCTCTTAATCAACTGAATTACAAAACCCTTGTACGGAATGGAATGGCAATTAAACTCTCCCATTGCGGTTGCGAATAATTATTTTGGTCCATAAATCAATCTTTTCCATTTCAATCATTTCATCTTCACCAAGAAATAAAATTTGCTCAAAATAATAGGGGTACCTATAAGAAAAACTTGGTAATTTGCTAGCAAAAAGTCAGTCATACCGGCAAGGAACACCAAATGAAGTTTAGCTCAACCATTTTGTGCAGCGACAATCTATGATCTATCCCCGCTGATAATGGTGTGTTTTGTGGTTGGGAGGAGAGGTGAGGAAGGGAAAGAGATGGTGCCTGAGGTGGTGCCTGCGCAGGAAGGGGGCGGGGGGTGGCGTGCAGTCTGACGGAGATGGAGTTGATCTAGCTTGCCTGGTTCTACCATGGCCACCAAGCGGCCAATTGGTGGAGACGGGTAAAGGAAATTGTAGCCCTGTGGATCCTTAATCTTACAAATTTGTTAGCTGCAAACCTCAAAAGGAAAGTGAATAATATTTCTAAGCATCTCCGGAGACACTAACAATATACCAAAAGATTACAGTTTCACCACTAATAACAGTATCATCGCAATTCCGCATCTTCTACAAAGGTCAAACACTGGTTCGCAACATACATGATATCCGAAAAAACAATAGGAAACTACAGAGTTCTATTCCAATAGACTAATTGACGCCTACGGCAAGAGGCATAGAGACACTAAAATTGATAAGAAAAACCAAACAAATTAATCGGTAACTGTTGACAATTAACAAATCATGCTTCCAACAATACATTAAATCAATTTGTCATAACCAAATAGGACACTACATGATGACATTGAACACATCAAGTCCACACGGATGAAAATGTACGCTCGTATCTCATTGTAAAACTCTTAAGAGTCAAGTTGCAGAAAATATCCACTACATGGTACATTCAATAACCTACATTCTGAATGAACCCAAATGTCCATTGGCTTCGGTCCAGGGTAAGAATAGATGTGGGCAGAAAAGAAGCCTAGACATGATTTAGTATCGAAGCAGAACACCTATAGGTGAAACTTTCCAATGCACTTCCCTTTTCCTTCTATGAAATGCTCCTGACGTATTGGTCAAGAGTTGTGTTGAATAGCTCACACCTACAAGGAAAATCACTCAATTACTCTGCAACTCAAAGACCCCTTTCCGATTGTGTGAAAACCTTACAAAGTATATAACCACACAGTGACAGTACTGTTGAAACCTGTATTGAAATCACTTAAAAAAGCAATCGCAAGACATTACAAGCCTTTCTAGAGTTTGACGGAAAAAAGAAATTGTTTTAGTATCAAGACATCAACGACTCAGGAATACATGACGTATCTACGATGCCTAAGCCATCAAAAGAATTCAAATACACATGTTGCATATACAGAATATCAAGACACATCGACACGCAACACAATATTTAAGGACACATTTTCTTTATCATTAGTTGCATCTTTCTAATTTTTTTACTTGACCAACCCAACACGATGCATCAGCGTGATAAGAAAACATGAAAAAGTTTAATATATATTCTTGTAGCAGGGATTACTATCTACGAAACTTCTCCCTGTGATAACACAAATAACTATTTATGACCTATCACATGAAACTTCCCCGTGCGAAGAACTGAAGATTATTATTCACTACATTATAATGACGAGAAAAGAGTCAGTTACCTGATCGGAGTACCGGGAGTGTAGAGCGGGTTCTTCACAACATACTCGACATACAAGTTGTAAATGTACTTCAGAGACTCCCTCAAGTCACCAGTTCTAGGATGTGTAACCAATATAATCTGCACACCGAAAACAGAAATCAGAGCACATCAATTAAAAAGCTTTTTCTAGCACATTAAAATTGCATTAAGAATTATCATACGATTACGAAGTTCAGCATAAACAACGAGACACATCGAAATTGCTAATTGCCAAGCTAAGCACAAATTCAAGTTCAAGAATCTAAATTGCTAAATGGGTAGATCTAGTACGAGCAAATTGCCACCAGAATCAGCAAAACCTTTAATTCCAATCAAAATCCAAACCCATATTTATCAATTTCTAGATCCGAATGCCAATGATTTGCAAAAATTGATAAACTTTTCTGATAAAATTGAGAAGAAGAAAAAAAACCTTAATGCCAGAAGGGGACTCCATGAAAGTGAGCTTGTAGGTATTGGTGCGGAAGCTGTGGAAGGAGCAGCCCTGCCCGGGGAGCTGAGGGACACCGAGGTTGGCCTTGTCAGGCGTGGTGGGATCCATCTTGGCGGTGAGGGACTTGAGGGAGAAGAGGAGCCCGAACATCAGCTTGTGATCCTGCTGCTGGTTCAGGGTGTGGAGCGGCCGATTCCACTCGCGGTAGAGGAGGCAGACGCCGTTACGGTTGAATACGTACATCATGTGCCCGTTGTTCCCCGAAGCCGTCGACGCCGGCAGCGACGGGCTTATCTCCGTTCCTCCGAAGAATTGCATTTCTCGGGGATATTCTGCTTCGCCGGATTTCAAATTTCGAAATCGGAATCCGATCGGACTGATTGATCGTATTTTCCGAACTCGCCGTCGCACTCGCAGACCAAAAAAACAGAAAAAATGATCAGATTTTAGAGAGGACGATAGTGATACCACAGAACTTACAGGTAGCAGGAAACCATCAGATCGTCGAACGCAGCGTTTTCGTCAGTGAGGGTCGAACGCTATGTTTTATACTATGCTTTAGAATTTAACTTCAGTTTAATTTTTTGTAAAATATGTATTGCTCGTTTACGGTTTCTTTTACAAACATAGCATTAGTGAGTTAAATTATTAAAGTTATGGGGAGGGGATCTGTGCAAATCGAATTCGCACCAGAGTGCATAGGTATTGTTGTTGTCGGTTAAGAAAATTCGCCAACTGCTACTGCTTGTTTATGTTAACCACTTGATTGATTGTATCAAAAGAGAATATACACATTGACAAGTTTTCTTTTTTGATAAATCAAAAGTTTAGGTGCATCACCGCACCACTTAGCCAAGTTAGCTAATGCAGAGTGCTCTGCACTCTCGCTCAACACCCAAATTTGAATCGCTTTACCCAATTTTCTTTTCCAGCTAATTTCACAAACCAACTGTGATAAAAACCCTAGATGAAGAGAAATAAAAGGAGCGTGAATAGCACCACTCTTTCGCACATCGTCATACCGAGGACTCGCCGGCCGCACGAGTTAAAGCCGAACTCGGCAAAACCAGAAGATGATCAAGGCAAGAACAAAGCAAATAAGTATTAAACACTTCAAATTCGTCCAGACAGGATCGGTTTCGATTGTACAACGCACAAGCAAAACACAGTAGAAAATAAACCAATTCTGGCTGATTTCAAAAGAGAGAGAGTCATCACCCACACAGCCAGAGTAGTGCCAAAGACTAATTGGAAACTAATCATTCTGTCCCAACCAACAAAATCACACACCAAATAGGTTACAAGCAAAAAAAGCATATCATCCGAGTTCCAACTAGTACAAGAATTCAGCAACTGTCTAGAACTCCCATTTCTTCATCTCCATGCCGTCGGGAGCACTTCCCTCAACCTTTTTGTTTCCCACTTCTTTCCAGTTTGTCGAAAGCACTGTCCCGTTTGACTCCACCTGTACAGTACAAACACAACGATGCAAGATGCAAGTCAATATAAAGTAGGCTGATTTTACTCCCAAGACCATGGTGGTTCCACCTGAATCTTTCATGGTGACCGGAATTATGAATTTTACTGGATATCACAATACAAGATACAAAAATGTCTTACAAAAGATTTTCTCATCGCCCTTCTTGTGTCCTCATCAGCATCCTTGTATATGTCCTGGAAGAATTTGTTCAGAGCTGCATCACCATCAAGCTTCTCTTCTTTTTCCTGGAATCACAATGTATCGGAGTAAGTATCGTGAATTGAAATATGCAACTATAATGTCAAATCAACTAACTGAGCTACGAGCAAACCTCCTTCTTCACTTGAGCCTCCAGCTTATCCCAGTCCCTTTTTGGTTTTGAGGATGGGTAGGATGGCCTTGGCGCTCCAACAACTGTTGACAGTTAACCCCTTTAAGTAGCTAATTTCTAATCTAGTTTTAGAATCAGAGGGTTGCAAACATATTAACATACCTGGGCCACTGCCCCTAAATGGAACAAGGCTGTCCTTGCTGAATTCAAGAGATGCCCACTGTATCGGTTCAGCTTTAGCCAGGCGAATTTCAACTTTGGTGGAGAGAACGTCGAACCTGCATTTTTCAGGTATTATCTGTTTGCAACCACCAAAGCTCACAGTTATTTTTTGTTCGAAAATGTAAGCCTTCTATAATGCATATATAAAATCAGCCAATGGCTCAAAAGGATACCAACTACTGGGGCCAGATTAAATGCAAAGGATACGATACTGCCAATTATTTGAAAATAAAAATTGGAAACGGGCATGCGTGTTTTGCTTTAATTTTCTGTATATATCCTCGTTATAAACAAAAAGAAAAACCTCAGCAACATAGAATTGGTGCAATACCTTTCCAAATAAGCGAGGTTGAAAATGATATGTATCTTCACCAGCAACATCGATGCTAACACTTAGCTGGAAACAACCAATAAAAGTGATTCATCAGCCGTAAAACTTGTACACAATTGACAATACCCAGAAAAAGTGATTCATCAGCCGTAAGTTCTAGAAAACTATGAGATCACTGAGAACAAATAATAAAAAGAAGCATTGAATCAATGAGAATCATACTATTTGTTCACCAAAGTCAACATGAACATCTTTGGCCGGTATGCCCTTGGCGAATATAGTCACAACCCCTTCTTCTGGCTTCTGGTAGAATTCATGCCTACATAAAAAATTTCCACCAAATCATGCATCTCAATGACCATGGAGTAAGGATACAATACATAAAGCAAATAAGAGGGTATTACCCAAGCATGCATAGATATCTCGGAGCTTCAATACAGACAGTACAAAAAGATGAAAAGCAATAACAAAAAAACTGCAAACAGAATGTTTTGGTGATGCTCCTTAAAAATATGAAACTAAAACACTTCCGGCAACAGAAATTAAATTGATCTCGACTAACCTGTATTTTGGTTTGACAGTTGCTACGGTCACCTGATTGGAAGGTTGACTCACAGGCTCAACATCTTTTTCAGGTATAACATTCTCTGTAATGTCTTTCTCCACTGGAGGTGTTGGTAGAACAATAGTTTCCTCTGATCGGACATGAAACAGTTAAATAAGATAAAGAGGATCAACTGCATGAGAAAGAGTAATTTCTATAACAATGATTTCCTTAGATGCCCCCATTACCAAAAAAATTCCACTGTATAAGAAAGCTAAACATCTAACTGTGAGAAAGGCCCGTCATTACATGAATTACTAAAAAGGTGCAAACTTGTAACAGTCAAACAACACACCTGCAATTTTCTCATCACACTCTTTTATCAAACTAGCAAATCTTGTCTCCTGCGGGGCCAAAGGAGCACCGGTTTCCAGGGCCGCCTTTGCAGTCTGATATTCCTCGAGCTTGATGCAGGCAATTCTGTAGCCATCAACAGCAAAGAACACAAATCGTAAAACAATCTGTGACATTAGCAATGACATGTTCCCGGTGCAGAACATAACTTATAAAACCCTACACGCAATACATAACGAGTTTCATGAACGGACTACACAATACCCTAGAAATGAGCCCTCCAAGGTTTTGGCCAAAAACAAAAATCCAAAGTTTCGAAACACTTAGAATTAGCAGTATAATCCTTTCCCTTTCGCAAAAGGCGAATGATCCACAACGATAACGGAGGATCAGCACGACCTTTATAGACTTTCGAGTTGATGGTTGCAAGATTTAGGCAAAATTTAACACCCTATTAGATTACAGACCTAAAATTTCAATTAAAAGTTACACTCTTTTCAGTATCCAATACAAACAGGTGCTCAAAAACAACAAATATAATTACGGGTTATCGGTGTTGTGCATTCGAACTCACCCTTTTCGAAAATACGCTTTGTACAATGACGGGTCGAACTCAATCGCCTTGTTCGCATCCGCAACAGCCTCTGATAACAACAAAAAACCCACAACAGATAAAGAGAATTAGAAAATCCAATCGAGTATTTTCTCGGGATTTCTTGGGAACCAAACAAGAAAAAAAAAGAAACGGGTATTCACGAAATTACACGAGGAAAAGAGGGTACCAGTGAGATTGCCGGCTTTGATGTTGGCCTGGGCGCGGTCGGAGTAGAGCTCGGCGCTCTGGGGGTTGAGAGCGATGGCCTGGGTGTAGAGGTCGACGGCCAACTCGAAGTGGTCGTCCATGAACGCCTCCTTGGCACGCTGTTCGGGATCGGAAGCCATGGGCGGAGGAGCAACCGTCAGCGTGGACTGGGAGTTGGAGAGAGAGGGAGATGGAAGGATCTAGAAAAAATGTAGCGAAAGTAAGAGGAAAAAACTTATCGAAGTCGACGCAAGTAGAGTGTTGTGTTTTGGGCCTTTGGGCTTCGGCCCTTTGTAGTTCCCACCAATATGTGTGTGTGTGTGTGTGTTTGTATATATGTATATGTGTGTGTGTGTGTCTATATATATATAGAGAGAGAGAGAGAGAGATTAAGAAGAATCTATGAACGTTCCAAGGAGACTTTGATGAAGTCTTTCACTCCGTTAAAAAAGTGAAAAATTGTCGTTTAACCCTTGAATTATTACTCGCTTGAAACTGATCTCTTGATCTATTTTCTTTGGCTCTGAATTATTAGAAATTACCTAATTAATCCATCATCATTAAATTTTAATGAAATTTATCTACTTTGTCTTCAAATACTGGCATGTGATTTATTCTTGAGAGTAAAGTCGTGCCAGTACTTTCTAACAAAGTTGACGAAATTTTCATCGAACTATACGGTGATGGTTTAACTAACTGATTTCAAATGGTTTAGAGGGTTAATTTACCAAAAAATAATTTAGAATGTCAATTTCAACTGGGGTAATAGACTAATAGTTTATGGAGTCAAGCTGTAGTTTACCTTTGAAAAATAGACAGAGAGATTTGAATTTGGCTAAGAAGGTGGAGCACATTACTCTAGCTAATTTAGCTAAATCTAGTTTACAAGAAAAATATATATTCGAAATTAGTATGAGATTCTCTATATTTTAATCACATCCGACCGAACGCTGGCTCCACCTCGTGTAAGATAATCTCTATACAAAGGCTTATATAGAAGCTCCTTGGTTAAGTTGGTGACTTTGTAATGAGAAAAGAGTATCAAACGAGATTCACAATGAAAAATTAAATGTAGCACGACAAGTAGATTGATGAAGAATTTATTTCTCCAATTAAACTCCTAAAGTGTTTTCATACTAAATTTACAGTTGTTATATTTTGGTCTCATTGGCACCAAACAAATTCGTTATCTTTTTGTTGGTTTCGGTGGGGAAGTATTTTTCCAAGAAAAACCAAACAAGGAAGGCAACTTCTTGTACTTTTCTTAGCAGCTTCCATGTTTCCATCTACTTCTATTTATTCCCAATCCCAGGATGAGCTCAAATGATTAGAAAAGTCTACTCTTTATTTGAGCAGGTGGGCATCAAATAAGAAACAAAGACAAAGTACATAAATATGATTATTTTTCGTCATTGAAGTAAAGCTTTATATACGATAATATAAAAAACGTTTGACATGAATTAGTATATTGTTAAAATTAATGTCGCATGTTATATTGTGTCGTTGCGCATAGCACACCCTTATTATAAAAATATCTTTATGCACGGTTTTTGCACGTATTATATAAAGCAAGGCAAATAGGAATATATTTTTTAGATATAAGTTTTCGTGGCAGCTTCCATATTCATATACCCAGTCATTGAGAAAGGAAGCTTCCCTTTGTCCATGACTAAATACAACAACAACGACCATTGACCTGCACCAATCATTATCCCAATATACTAAAATTCAGCAAATGCCATGTTGGCAACTAAGGTGGCTATTAGGCGTAGCCTGTTTATTATGACACCTGGTGTATTGATTGTGTTTTCATCACGTTCAAACATTTCTCCAATATAATACCGTTAGTTTCTACTAAGTGCGATAGTTAAACTGCTGTTTAGTCTTTTCCTCCTTCAAACTCAACTACTCGAAAAGGCTCTGAACTTTGATGCCTCTAACAGAAGTCACCAGGCTCGTTGTCAACACAAATGAAGTTTACTGTTTCAGAAAAAGTTGCCTTCGCGTTCTTTCCGCGTGCAACTCACAGTCCCTGCCAGGGGGCATCTGTGTCCGCAGTGCAATTACCAAACCGCGTCTTGACGACGACCTCTACTCAGCCAACAACCTGCTGTCTCTCTATGCGTGCTCTGGAGTTGTATCCTGGACTGGGGTGCTGTCTGCTTATGTCAGGAACGGACACCATCACGTCTCGCTTGAATTCTTCGATTCGACGATTGTTTCCGGGGCAGTGCCCAAATGAGTTTACGCTCTCAAGTATCTTAAAATCATGCTCATTGCCGGAGAGTTGGATTACAGGACTTGAATCCATACGTATGCGGTCGAGCTTGGATTCATTCGCGGTGATCAACGCTGGCTTGGAGGATGATACTTGTACACGAAATGTTTTCTGACCTCGTAGAAGATGGTTTGAGAGCATTTACGGAGATAAAAACATTGCTCCCGGGGAATATACAGTAAGGCGAGGGATGGAGCTTGACCCGTCTGATGCAGCATTTTACGTGCTGCTTGCAAGTTTGTACGATGATTCTGGTCAGCCGGATTTAGCCGAAAGTACACGACAGGCAATGAGGGAGAGGGGATTAAAGAAGAAGGGTTTAGGGGGTTGAAGAAGAGAGGATACCCGTATCAGACTATGAAGATTCATCATGTCATAGTGAGAAGTTAGCTGTGGCATTCGGTCTTCTCAATACACCATGTAACGCCTCCATACGCGCATCTAAGTATATACGTATATGCAGCAGAGGATCTTTCTGGTTGTTTTAATATGTAAAATTACAAGAATTCAGAAAGCCACAACAAAGTGTTTATAACTATGCAATTGTGTGATCAAAATCAAGAACCAGAGATCGTTCATAACACCAAAACCACGAACAATCCCAATGCCAATACTCGAAGAGCTAAAACTGTGTTACATTATTCATTCTCAATGGGAATCAGGGACGGAACTTAAGTAAACAACATCGCAATGGTATCAAGCGCAGAAATTGAAATATTCAAGCGTTCCTCCCATGATTAAAATTTATACAGCCCAGCAAACAGGCACTGTCACCAGCAATAAACAGGAGAGAATACAAGAAAAAAGACTTCAATTCAAATCTGGAATCCAAAGTACCTAGAAGCATATGCCGACGGATGGTTTACTCCTTTGCGTCTGAACCAATAGAGGTGACTTTAGCCTCATCCAACTTTGGTTGGTTTGTAGCAAGGCCTTCCAGCGTTTTGTAAAACTCCTCAGGAAGAGGACCAGGTCGGTGCAGAGGAACGTGCTTGGGAACTGGAGCATCATTCTCGATCACCTCACATTCGTAATCATCAGGAACACCCCATGGATCCCACTCTGCAATGCAAGTCAATACAGAATGCAAACTATTACGAACAATCCATTGTATATCGTATCTCAAAATGTCGCTCAAACAAGAACTTCATATAAAGGCAACAGAAAGACATCAGTTTGAACATCAGAATGATAAAACTCTGAGACGGAAGAACTAAAAAATCAGCATTAACTGAAGCATGCAAGTGCACAATGGCTGGTAAAAACCATAGTTCACAGTTCACACAAACAAAGATTCCTACTTTGGACATTGAACGAGAGTTTGAAATGCTTCAAAGTGAAGAAAACAGATTTGCTTATTATATGTTCCACTTGAGCTTGGATTCAAATGTGTCCATTCACCGCAACCGCCACCCTCCACTCCCCCTGCCACCCTCTTTTTTCTTCTTTAACCACCCCATATGATATGCATTAACAAACAACCAGCATTCTCGGGCAATCATTGTTTCTTCGGAACTGATAAAATCAAGTACCCACCTTTCGTTTCATGACGTAGTAAACAAAATACCCGACTGCTAAAGAATTTATGAACTTCGCTCACTTTTCCCCTAATTTCCACTACAAGAAATGAACAACTTACTAAGTTACCATCACAAAACAAAACTACACAGGCCAGATTAATCACCAAACTTTCTAATTCCAATTCGATTACTTTTCGATTTCTCATCAACCAAACTAAGCAAAAATGTCGAAATCACAAACAAGCACTCAATTTCCCAAAATAAAACCACATTTCTGAGCTAAATTCCAATTTTCATGGCCCATGTCAATCCCAAAACACAAATAACCACTCTCAATTTCATTTCTTTCAAAAACGAGAATAAAGAATTAAGTAAATTATAAAACTAGCAATAAAAATAATAAATTGTACTGACCGATCATCTTGCCGGTGAGAGTGAGCTCGTCGCGCGCCTCCTCGATGAGCTCCTCGACCTGGCCGCAGCCGAGCTTCTTCTCGATGGCCTCCCAGTCCTCCTCTTCGCGGCAGACATTGAGGCGGTGGCGCGTGAAGCTCTCGACGGCCTTGCGGTAGCCTTCGTCCTCGGGGATGGCCTGGACCTCCTTTAGGGTTTTGGAGTAGAGCTCGATTAGGACCTCCCTCGCATTGGGGACCACGTCCAGCCCTACAATCCCTGTCGTCTGCTTCACCCTGGCCAACAACGGCCGTCCGATCGCTCGCAGGAACATGTTTTCGAATCTCTCTCTCTCTCTCTCTCTCTGTGCGATTTGAAAGCTCCGAGTCGGATCGGTTCTTCTTCTCTCTCGTAGCTCACACTCGCGCGCCGTAAAAACCCGTTTTGGGAAACGGATATGGTTTCAGAATTCGGGTTTCAAGTAATTTGATGTTGCCACGTCGTCATGAGCCCAATCATGTAAAAGCAATCAAGGCCTGCAGTAGACTTTGGGCCTGAGCCCAAATACGAATGGTCGAGGGAATTTTCGTTAATACAAACGATATTTTATATTAATTTATAATTAAAGTGGAAAAAGTTTAAATTTGAAACACAACGTGTCAAAGAGGAAGTTCTAACCACAAGAATAATTCATCACATATCAATGATTAATTTAATAAGTATAGTACTACATCTCTTATTTATTAAGATTTAAGATATAAATAACAATTAATAAACAAGGACTCTTGTTATTTTATTTTTATTTTTTATAATTTATTCGTTTTGTTATAGACATGGTCCCTCATACTTAAACATAATAAACCAGCAACTTGCTTCACCATTAAAATTCGTCGTATTTTTCTGCAACCACACCCCATTGCTTATGATATAGGATTGATGCTCAATCAATAATTTATAATTCACTTGCACATATTTATACGTCGGAAAGTGATTTTCACACACTTATTTTTTCTTCTCACGCAAGTTTCTTTATTTATCACCATCGGATTGAATAAATTAAACAGAATTGACGACCAAATTTAAATAGAGGAGTGTAAGAAACAAAGGAGAGTGTGAGAGGCTTAAGACTCATTTGAAAGTGCTTTTAAAAAACGAGTGTAGAGAAAATGAATTTTTGTTCCAAAAGCACTTGAAGTGTTTTTCCATAATTCACTTGCATTTTTACTAATAATTGATTCTAATTTTTTTTATTACTAAAAACGCTTTCACCGACCCTATCCTCGTGTTTCAAGGAAAAACTTATCTTTGTTTTGTTTTCTATGCCCTTTTTTTAATAATTTCAACAATTTCAAAAACACTTTCAAACAAGCCCTAAATTTAGTAAATCACTTTCCTGGATGTTTTCTTTTCCACATAAAATATTCAATAATATTTTCTAATTAAAGTTAAAGACAAAACCCTAAGTAAAATATATTTGACCTATTCTAATCCTTAAATATCCAATGAGATTATTTTACCAATAAGTCACCCGAATTTTGTCCTCTTATGTGGACAGACAACGAGAGAATCCAGTGTTTGTCTCGTGACAAAGGAGACTGAACCGGAGCGGTTCACGGGTGACTAATTAAACCATGGGGATGACATATATCTTAGACTATGGTTTATCGAAGGATATAAACAACTTCTAAAAGTACAAAAATTTTCCCAAACAAAATTATTACCTTAAAAATTAGATGTTATTGACCACTTCACTAATATAGGTGGCCTCCATGCATGCATGCATTGAAATTAAAAAAAAAAAATAACCGTATCGATAATAAATGTTGTCTAAAAAGCAGTATTAACTCATTATCCACTCAGATTTTTCACCTCTTCTTAAGAAAGTATTGAAACTTTAGTTAATAAGAATTTTTGTTGTTGGATATTGTCATAAATACCATAACATAAAAGGGAGAGAAAATTAAAGATACCAAAAACAAAAGTGGATTGTAGGTAATTACAAAAATAACCTTAAATTTCAAATGATTTAGTAAACAATTTTTTCTCACTTGTAAGTAAGAAGTATTAAGTTCACCTTTCATGAATAGTGAGTTTGATATCAATTATTGATGACTTATTGTGATGGTTTAGCCTGACCCTTTACGTTTAAATTTTTAATATAATCGTTCTATATATGAAGAAGAAAAAAAAAGGAAAAAATTATCACTTAACAAACAAGGGTATCTATAATATAGTATAGAAAATTGTTTCAAAAGGACTTTTAAATGTCTGGAAGCGCTTTTATATAAAATGGTTTTGGAACCAATCCTTAATAAAAATGCAAGTTAATCGTGAAAAAAACACTTCAAATGCTTTTGAAATCCAAAAATATTTTCTCTAAAAATGTTTTCAATTAATAGCACTTTCCAAATGAGCCCTAGATCGCTAAAACATAACTCTAGTCTGTGTTTGTCTTTAACAAAATTTGTTATTTATTGTACTGTCTTTTTTTCCTGAAGATTTTAAATTTCTAATAATACTTACTCATTATATTAATATTTTTTATATTTCTCATGCAATTAGTTAAATGTTTATTATATATCATATCATGAATGTGGTGGAAGAAATTGTTCAAGGCAAAGCGCATACAAGTAAATATACAAACGCAACAAGTATCAAACTCATACCACCTCATGATCCATGCATGGTTACGTATAAATATTCACTACATCATCATTAAGAGATGAGGGTTTTGTCATCCTTAATCACATTTGTTAGACTAGTTTTTCAGAACACACAAAACTCATGCCTAATGTTTTTTTTTTCTACCAAATTACCATCCTTAAATGTTATATAAACATCGTTTAATGATGATATAATTGATTATATCCATCTATATAAATGAACTTGTCGACAAATAATCATTTATAGAAATGAAACGCGTATCTAAATTTTTTTTCCAGCAAAACTGCCACGCGTAATGTCCTAAGTATATCATGTTAATTTAATGATTATGCTACGATCATATCTAACCACGTGGATGAATTTACGTGAATACGATGAAGTCAGTAAGTCAGTTATAAATAGTTTTCTTTCTAATAAAACGAAACGCGTGTCTGAGTTTTTGAAGTCGATATATCAGTTATAAACGTCTAGCTAATAACGATATGACTAATCGTATTTTTGTACGTGAATTAGTTTTACTTTTACGTGATTATGGTGAAAGTCAATAAATTCGTTAATCGTTATAGATAAGATATTTTTTTCTCATTAAATATTAAACACCAGAAGTAATCCTTAGCGAAAAACAGAAACCCTTCATATTCAATTTAAAAGAAGAGATAAATACAGCTGAAACTCTATGAGGAAGAAGGAAGAGATTCTTTTCTCTGTCTCTTCTATACAATCTAATAATATAAGAACCCTGTCTCTCTTTTTCTCTATCTCTCATAGAACTAACACAATAATAAAAGGTTAAATAAAAACCCTATGCATCCTCCCTACTTGTTGGCTAATAGCAACCACTGCCAACGGTTGCTCCGGCAGCGGAGGAGCAATTAGCATCAGTCCAAGAAGACCCCAAACTTGATTGCACATTATCCAAAAAATTATCACCGGAAGCACCCACCATAGAAGAACTTCCACTTCCGCTAGAACTAGTACTACCCAGTTCCTTCTGCCCCAAGAATATCTCATCCGACATGTCCATGTCCGGGATCACAACATCATCATCCTCGTCCTCATCCCCGTACTCGGTCTCATCCATCTCCTCATCGTCATCATTAAATTCGTCATTTTCTTTGTCAAGTGAATTGTCAGAATTGTCCTTATTGGCTACAGCCTCAGCTTGGACTGTCAAGGGTTGTCCGGTGGTGGGAGACGAGGGGTTGGGAACAGCTGCTGAACCAGAATCGTTGTTAATTGGCTGCTTTTGACACTTAGACGCAGCTGACAGCTTGTTCCTGGAGGTACCGGCAAGCGAGTTCCGGTGAGTCGGGCGAGCGTGAGTGTGGTCGCCGGAGTATGTGACTGTGAAGATGTTGGGATCCGTCGTGCTCCGCTCCACATGCTTCCTCGCCGCACACCCTTTTGAGGTGCTGCATCGGTAATAGTTCCTGTAAAGAATCATGACTCAGAGAGAAAATCGCAAAGAAAAGGGAAGGAGAAATTGAGCGTGGAAAATTAACCTAATTACATACCTTGGATGTGGAGAACCCTTGATAGGTTTTTGGCCGTACTTCCGCCACGCCCATAAATCGGCCGTGAGATCCTCAGCTTTCACTTCACACACCTTTTTATTTTGCTGGGTTCTCCTGTGAATCAATTCATGTAGTTCACATCATGTGAAAAAAGCAAAAACAAGAACAAAGATGAATTAAAAGCGATTTATGTGCACTTTTTTTTCTTTCTCAACACTAATTTTTATTTTTATCTCCTAATTATCATTTAATTTATTCAATTTAAAAGTTCAAAAAGGTAAAAAAAGTTAGAAAAAGAAAAGGCGTGCGTAAATCATTTCTCAATAGCAAATTTTGAGTATATATACCTTCTTCTTTGAGAGCGAGGGGTGTGCAATGGCATGGTTATTGGTAGCCGAGGAAGAGGATAAGCGGGATTCATGGACCCGGGCCTCATAAATCCCTGCTGATTTTGGGGCTGCCGGGGTTGAAGAATTTGATACCCCCGCTGCATCATTTGCTGTTGTTGTTGGCCATAGATTCCTCGAAAAGCAGGAGCCGGTATTCCCCGGGTGAAATGATCAGGCATCAAATGATGTTGCTGGTTCTGCTGCTGCTGCAGCTGTTGTTGGAGTTGTGCATGATGTTGCTGTTGATGTTGTTGGAGGTGATGTTGGCCACTACCACTAGATCCTCCAAAGTCAGAAATAGTGGGGGAAATTGGAATAATATTATTAGGTCCAAAGGTGGTGTTGTTAGTGCTAGGATTGTTGTTCTTGTTGTTGTTGGTGGTGGTGGGGTTGGGGAAAAAGGACTGTTGCTGCTCTTGCAAATCATTGTCTTTGGGATCGTCTAGATCGGGAAAAGAGAACAACGGATCGGTTAACTCGTCGGAACTGATCAACAAATCCCAAAAAGGGTCGTCTGCGAATTCATCCGACGGTGTATGGATAGGGGTTGTGGGTACGATCGCGGTGGTGGCGGCGGCGGTGGTATTTGTAGTGGTTTGGGCGGTTGATTTGCAACCCCTTACAACGGCGTAAAGATCCCAATCATCTGCCATTTTCAGAACGGCAGCGGCTGCGGTGTTTTGTCGTGGTTTTTGGTTGCAGCTATAAGGAAGGAGAGGTTCAAAGGACGGCGCTGACTTGGAGGAAGAGAGACACAGACACAGATACAAGCACAGACATGGACAAAGTAAGATTGTAGCTAGTGAGAGGAAATGGCGCACTGACTTGGTAAATTGTTTAATTATTTATACTGAAATTTAGTACTAATTTAACCCAAAAAGAGAGAAAAAAAAACCCAAAAAAAATTTTGAACAGTAAAAAGAAAGTGGTTTTGATGCATTTTTTGAACCGTGGCTTTTGATTGACTTTTGTAAAAATGTCAAAGACGGGGCCGGACACGGTGGCAAAGGCACTGACAGTTGGTACATATGCCCGTCCGAGTCGAAATCTGATTGGCTGTCGAAGTGTGAAACCGTCGTGTGTGAGCGTTAGAAAACCACCATGCGAGCAAACGGTCTGTGCACCACTGCCCTAGCATGCCCTACAACTGGAGGGTATATGGAGTGCTGGGTTTTATCTCTGCATAACGCTCGCCCAGCCAGCTCCCTTTTGAACGGCATATGATCAAAAACGTTTGAGGTTGGTAAAGAGGTACAAGACAACAGCAATGCTGCCACATTGTCAACATTCATGCTTGCTATTAATTTAGGATTATGTCATGGAAAATTGAGTTAAACTATTCTCCATTTTTATATTACCAAATTGTGTATATATTCATATATTATATGAAACCATAGTTTAAATGTGTATAGTATTTGTCATTAGGTACAAGGAAGGCTTGATAAATTGTTTTTTCAAACAACTCTTTCGCATGAAATTGAGCTGGCTCTCACTTGTGGCATTAATGTAACACACTCATTATAGTTGTTAATATTAGTGATAAACACTTAAATTGATACATAGTGTGACAATAGTTGGGTCATAGGGTTTTTTTTTTCTATTCAAAATAGCATTTAAGTATTTTTATCTATAGGATAGAGTTGCAAATGGGTAAACCAGTTGGCATGGCATTGTGTTTGTTGCCTTCTTGCATTCAAGTTCATCTGTGTACATTTTTGATGAAAAGTATAAAAGGAAAGAACATAATGGGTTAAGTCAGTTGGCAGGACATTGCATATGTTCGCCACCTTGTTGCATTCAAGTTCAACTGTGCACGTGTTTGATGAAAAGTATGAAAACGGAAAGAACAACATGGGTTAAGTCAGTTGGCAAGGCATTATGTCGGCCGCCTTGTTGCATTCAAGTTCCACTCCGTACGAATTTGATAAAAATATGAAAAAGGAAAGAACAGAACATGACAAACAAAAATGTTTATGTTTCATTTAAAGAGTCAATGACAGTTAATTTGAAGATTATACTGAGCAGTTTCGGAGCAGCATGAGCCCCTTAATTATAAGATGATGACTTTTGACATAACTTTTCACTTTAGTCCTTGACAATGAAATCGATAGAATTGGTCCCTGAGTTTATCTAACGTAAATCATTTTGTTCATTCCCTATAAAATATTGTCAATATCCTTATTAAATTGTCACGTAAATAGCCGGGTGACCACATTTTTAAAGGTACTTTTATCAAACCAAAACCTCCACTTAACAAGGATATTAACAGATTTATCGCGGAATGACCAAATTGTACTTCTACTGATTTTCAATATCAGGGATCAAAATGAGGAATTATGCCATTGTCATGGACCATTTTAGTTAAAAAGCCTAAGATGAATTGATCTTAAACTAACTTGACGACTTAGTAGGAATAATCAACAATGGTTAAGATAGAGAATTTGTAGAAATAATGGAAGAAACATAATTTAGTTCCAAAATTTTCGGACCCACATTTTTATACAAGCAATATTGAGAAAATGAGAATTGAACCTAGAACTTTGTGTGTTCTCTTAACTGCTTCATCTACAAATCTCTTGCATGACCGACCTTTTCTATTCGGACATTTGTTACTAATTTTTACTTTTTTGGTATTTATCATAACATATGCAATGGAACTTGATATTAGTACGAATTGTGTGGATTACCATTTGGTCTAATACTGAATTTCTACTTAATTATTCACTCATCCAATTCGAAACTGGTTTTTGTCCGGTATTGGATGAAGTTTTGAGTTTCAAATCTCAGATTGACGTTAATTTAAAATTTGAATTTCTTTAGTCCATTAGTCAAGAAAAAGAAAAGAACCCTCTCATGAACCAAAACTTATGACACGGTGAAATCGACAAGAAAATATCACATTGTGATAGGTGAAAAAGTAATTGAAAAAAAAGTATTGTTCTAGAACGCAATAATAATTTTTCGGAGGGTTTAGCCAAGGTTCATGAATGTAAATTAATTGTAATGGAAAAAAAACCGTAATTCTGCACTTTGTTCTTTTTTTATTTTTTATTATGTTACCTTAAAAATGATACAAAAAATCTCACACATTTTGGCATTTTGCACTTTATAAGTAATTAAAAAGCACAAAGATAAACCCAAAAAAGAAAAAAAGAAGCTAAGTGCAAAAGTCCATAACGCGTGATCCGCACGTGGAGATGAGAATATCCTAACCGTTCATCAAGCACACCCCACCAACGATCCTAATTCTGGAATCTGGTCCCACGGGTGGTGGGGTCCTGCATAAAGCATAAATCCACTGGTATGGAGTAGGGACAGAAAGGTAAATGACAATGTTCCTCTCCCAAGTTTTTGTCTCTTCTCCTATATACCAAGTTTTTGTCTCTTCTCCCATTTATATTATTTGAATTTGATGTGCTGGTGTTAGTTGGATTAAGAAATCTTGGCCGTCAAGGCTGGGTTTAATTTTCATGTTTTGAAAATATGGATTACAGAATAACAAAATCATCGTACAAAAACACGAGTGATTTTCTGGTTGTAAATTTTAAGAGGACGTGTATTATTTGATTATGGTGAAGGATGGACTAAAATGCTTTTAACTTTTCCGAGCTTCATTGGAGATTAGTCATACCCTTCAGAGTGTGGAGTATACTTCGATAAAAGATAAAATAAGAAAATCATCCTAAATTTTTTATTTATTTTAATGTGGGAATCTCTTAAACATAAAAATAAAACAATTCGAGTAATGTAGTTTTTTCTTACTAAAATGATTTTTTTGTTGTTGTTCAAATTACTGAGTAGTCTCGAAAATCAATGATTAGATATTACATAAGGGTATCTGATGACTCTTTGCAACGTCTATGAGACAACTAACATAAAGCTACCGTAACTCAAATTTTCATCACAAATATACATTATCTTTATTCACGAGAATTAAATTTAATTCTTTTTTAAAAGTAAGTGGATATAATTAGTGAATGCAAATTCGTAGTTAGTCTAAGTATAATTTGATTGGGGTGTGATATCCACACATTCCATTTTACTTCTCACACATATTTTTAATTTTCGGCCGTCGGATCGGATGAATTGAAGAAGATCAACAGACATAAATTAACAAGGGGTGTGTGAGAAGTAATTTAGGGTGTGTGGATAGCACATCCCAATTTGATTATAGGATATGGTTCTCAATAGAATTCAAGTTTTTGGGAAGAAATGGTTTGTTATGGTGGTTCATATTGTTAGTTAATTATTTCATTAGACTCTAAAATCGACTCCAGAAGTGCCAACTATCGTTGTGTTTTTTTTTTAATGTGAATAAACAGGAAACATTTAAATAAAGACGCAATAATTATTACTGCAAAAAGATGTAACAAATGACAGGGCTGCCTTCGTTTATTTGGAGAGAAATTTGTCATTGCGCCGAAAATACAGCACAGTATATCAAGTGTTATAATACAATAGGTTGAAAATTTGGAAGAATTTTTTTTTTCCAACTAGCTAGTTCTCCCTAATCAATTCCATGAAGCACACATAACTTCCTCCAGCAAGCAGCAGCTATTCATACACCAATCTTCCAAAATAATAAGTAGAGGGTGCATAACAAAACTTTAGGGACCGTTTTATAATTGTTTTGTTTTTAATTTCTTTTCCTCCAATTTTTTTAAAACTGAAATTTTGTTTGATAACTACTTTTAGTTTTCAAAAAAATTGAACACTGAAAACTATTTGAGTTTTCAAAATATGGCCTTGAGTTTTCACTTTTTAGTTTTTATTTTTCATTTTTTTAAACTAAAAATAGTTACCAAAAAAAAAAAATTAAGTTTTCAAAAAGTAAAAGCTAAAAACTAAAATTGAAAGGGTTGGCAAACGGCCCCTTACCATTTTATTTTTACGATGCAATATTCTAAAACCTCTATAAATGGAGATAATTTGAACTTAGGTGTACATAACGAACACTGACCTAATTTACGTCTGCAAAACAAACCTTTAATTGAAAAAAAAAAGGTGATTTGAGACCACCACTACCATTTCCTTTCCATTTTAATCTCAGGATCAAATCTAGTTAGGGAATAAGAATTTGTGATTGATATAGTTCTTTCGTATCTTTTTTGTGTGGTGGGAACTTGGACCCTGAAAGCTTATGAATGCATTATGTATGTTGGGGAGAGCATGTTGACTTTTAGGTTTGGTCCAACAAGTTCTCAAGCGGGTTGACTTTTGGATTGTGGATGAAACCATTGAGCTTCATGTCTCTGTGGAGGTTGAACCAGTAAGAAGATTAGTGATGTGACTGCTGCCAACGTCATGAGAGAGAGAGGATGGGGGGTGGGGGTCGGTTTGGTGAAGAGAAGAGGAGGGAAGGGTATCAATACTCTCAACCATCATTTTTCGATTAGTGGATCATCAATCACTTGTGAGACTCCAGGCCATTGATTCCTGATCGGATACAACATACATAAATGATTGACAATCACTCACTTGCGTCTGAACCTCAAGACTTTCAACCATCATTTTCCGATTAGCGAATCATCAGTCGCTCTTAAGACTCTTGAGTCATTGATTCATGATCGAATACACATACATTAATGACTAACAATCACTCACGTTTGGACGACTACGGTGGCATGGATTTGAGCAACATCATTTGTGGTTTTTGAGGAGAAATTTTTTAGCATGCTAAGAACACAACCTAATATACCAAGTGTCATAATATTGGTTGAAATTCTTTTCTTTTTTTTTTTCAAATATCCAACCACTTGTATTATAATACTTGATATACCGGATCGTAGTTCCGGCATCCTGAAAAATCTTTGGTTCTTGA